TGCCCCCCCCCCCCCCCAACCCCCCGACAAAACCAGGAGCAAGACCTAATGAAAATTTGAAAAAGGAAGTCACCTAAAACTTTGCAGTGTGTGGAAAAAGGCTAATAAGTTCATTCATAATTCAGCATAAAGTTCTTCTCTGCAATTGCACCTTCGAAAGCCAGTTAGAAGCTTTTATATTTAAGCTGAATGTAAAATTCTTTGGTTTTTAAATGTCATTGACAAAGCTCAGTTTTCCTTCAACCACAAACAATATTATTTTAACTTAGCAGATTTCAGTCCCTTCTCTTTCGTTGATAGAATGAAATGACAAACAAGAAGCCTTCTAAAAACTGTTTGTCTATACTAGATGCCAATAAGGTAATGTTTATTTCAACTGTAAAACATTTATACATTTTGCTCTACTTGGAAACATTTGAGAAATTGTGTTGAAGTCAAATTGTCTTTTATTAGGAAACTTCAAAATCTTTGTTTCTATGTGGTTAACCAGTCATTGAACTCAAAAAGCATCCACTTTTGAAAGGAGGAAAGACTGACAATTTAGCAAGTTGACTAGATTTTGAGTCGTGAAAGCACTTAACCATATTCATAGATTGGGAGGTAATCTTATATGTGGAAATGCGAGGAGGAAAGATCGGTTGTTTAGTAAGTTGAAATTCTTTGAGTTTCTTTTTTTTTTCCTTTTTTTTTCATAACAGAAAGAGAGAAGCACTTGACAATATTTATTGATTGGAAGGTGAACTTGTAATGCTTTTCAACATTGAATCGTAGGATTAGTATTATAACAAATTTTGAAAAGGTATCAATTTTTAGTGTTGAAATTTTAGATTTGATACTTGGTGAGGTTAAAAATAATTATACAAAATAAGACAACGCATAAAAAATTATTTTTCATTAACTGTAATGAAAAAGTTACAATGACAAGCAAATTACAATGATAAAAGAGTAGCAATAAGGACTAAAAAGATTTCATGTTTTATCAACAGTAAAAAAAAAAAAGAAAAAGAAAAAAAAAAGACACACACACATATAGCGGATGAAAGAATTACAATGACGTAGTTAAATAATGTTGATTAAATACAAGTTTTTAGGTGGTCTTCTACTGCAAGGACATTTTAAATCACATTTCATTATTATCTAGAGAACTCATCGAATCACACTTTGCATGTGCACACTTGAGTTATCTCTAATAGAAATGTATTGTTTCTGCATACAGTTTTGTGTAAGAATTAGTATAAACTTGAAATCATCAGTGGATCATTCAGCTTCTTATAATTTCTTTTTTCCCTAAAAGGCGATGGTTGATTCTTGGAGCATTCCCTTCCTTGATGCTTTTGGCCAGTCTAAAAATGTTCAGTTATATGAGGTATTGTAATTTTCAACTTTTACCTAATAGAAATAATCTATTAAAGTTCAAAAGATTTGCTTTGTTTTCATTTTTTATCTACTTTAGTAGTTAAAAGTTTCAAGTTGAAGTGAACCTTTATGATTCTGTATTTAGACCGAGATTATTAGGAATTTTATCTGTTTATGTATTCCTGTGGAGAAAAATTATATTGAAGTTTAATCCACTCCGAACTTGACTTTCAAAATGTATCTTGGATACTTTGTCTCTTAGTTGAAAACTAGGAAAACTAGGTTGTTAATTTTGAGAAGAAACCGGAACGCGCTTTGTTTTTAGGAAGGGAGATAAATTCAATTGATTTAGCCCCTGTTTAAGCCTCATTTTTTGGGGAAATGTGTTTTGAATTTTTGGAGAATGTGTAGTTAAAAAGAAAAGGAAAAATTATGAATTTACATGTAAAATTATTTTATGGAAGAATGTGGTTAAAAATGAGTTTTGAAAAAAATGAGTTTTGGGAAAAATGGTGCTCAAACAGGGGCTAAATAAAAGTGTGGGTGATAAAGTTAAATTTGTTAGGCCGGCCTCGATCTTTGCTCTGACCATTTATGCCCTCTTCCTTTGGCAACTACTTTAACATCAAAAGGATTTCTATTGGTAAAATAGACAATCTTTTTTATAGAATGGCAACATTAATTTTGTATATTCTGCTAGAAATTGTCAATTTTGGATAAACTAACCAAGAAATAATCATGAGGATACGCGAATAGGCCCAGGTGTTTGCTTACTACTATAATTCGTCCTTGTCGTCCCAAGGGACATGAAGGAGGCATGGATGTCTACAATGTATTCATCTTTTGCAATTATTGGCTAGAGTTTTTCACCATAATTTGTTGTTTAATTTTATATATGTAGTGAACGACTGTCATCTTTATATGGTCACTTTTTGTACAACTTCTAATGAACAACTTCTCACATCTAGGTATCCTTCATAGATTCATGGTTATTGACTCGCAATCCCATAAAGAAGATTCTACTTCGGATAATGAGGAAATCTAAGCCTGCAGAGAGGAACAATATAGTGCAGTCACAGATAGTTTATTCATTTGGCGATCATTATGACTTCAGAAAGGAGCTTAAAATTTTGAACCTTCTTACTGGGTATCTATTGTTCTCACTATTTTTTTCTTTTTTCTGTTCTTAAAATTTATTCAACTTTCCACCATGATTAGCCAAAAGAAGTTAATTGGTGCATAACAAGCATTGATGATCTGCAGGTATATTTATTTGATCGACAAACTTGGGAGAATTCGATGGCAAGGTTCTGGATTTGCAACACCAGATGAGTTGTCATCACTTGTATCCTGTACTTCGTTTCTGTTGGAAGAGAAATAAGGAATAAAAATATTGCTTTGGATGAGCATGATTGAAGATTGAGCAAAATGGACTTGTGTGATTACTGTCTTGTAATTACCTTGTTTTCCAATCCTTTGAGCTTTAGATCATTCATCAGTGTCTCAACTTCCAGAAGGGACTACGGAACTGCTTTTGCAGGTCTCCACTCAATGGAATTTTACATTTTAATTGGTATCTTTGCAATGGAGTAGATTCTCTTATGAAACACGATCAATTTCATCTTTATATTTTTTTTATTACCCTGGGATGTCATAAAGGGAAATTAATGTCACGAATTTCTTGTCGGAACACGTGCTTACTGCATTATCGTTGGTTAATAAACATTTGAGTATCAGAACATCACTTGCCTACCTAACCTTTTATGGATTTCTCGTGATTAAAGATTCAGCAACTTGGTCAGAATCTTGTTTGCCTCTTGTATATCGACATTATTTCCTATTCTTGTTCGTCTTGCTACTCAATTCCATTGTTTCATTGTTTTGGCATATTCTTTCGGTGTACATATTTGCTGACGGGCAGATCAAATCAGCCATTCCCATTTCACACATCTGAATTTTACTCATAACACTGGAATTTACTCACTGTAACTGGCTGTCTGGTTGTTTTTGGCATTTGCATTTGTGGATTTAACTTACCCAGTATGTGTTAGTCTTTTTGTTGAGAAATGGTGTTTTTGTCCATTGATGGCACATCTCCACGGACGGGGGAAATAATGAAATTNAGTATGTGTTAGTCTTTTTGTTGAGAAATGGTGTTTTTGTCCATTGATGGCACATCTCCACGGACGGGGGAAATAATGAAATTTACATTCTTTTTCGTATCCTTGCCCATGGAGCTTGGGATTTTTCTCTTTCCTGCCTAGTACATGTTTAGTCGGTGATCAAATTATAAGTGGATGTTAATACGAAATGTGTGGATGCAAAGTGTGTTTATGAATCACCAACTGAACTTGCACAGTATGCATGAGTTGCACATGTACTAAATGTTTGAGGTTGTAAGCCAATGGATGGTAGGCCTTACTTCCTCCCTCCACCTGGAACTTTCTTTCAACGGACCAAACAACATTCTATCTTCAACTCTTGTAATATGATTACCTCATCAACTAGTGCATGTGATTATGGTGTTATAAGAAAACTTAAATATGGGCCCAAGATTTGCCCATGCAAGGGCACATCACATGTGAGAAGAAGGAAATGATTCTCTCAAAGGTTAGATTTTTACAAAAATAAAAAAACGTTGGGCCAAATTTCATTTTTGTCCGCTTGAAGTGACCATCTAATTGTCGGCAATTGAGCCTCGGTTTATTCTCCATTTTGTAGAAATGAAAATGAGTAAAATAGTTTTTTTTTTTTTTTTTTTTTAAAAATGAGTAGTTGAAAAAGAATGAAAAGTTTTGAATTTACGTGTAATATTATTTTATAAAAAATTATGTAGTTAAAAATAAGAGAAAGAAATATAAAATGTAATAAAATGAAAATTAACGTAGGTCAAACGTGGGCTGAATAACCCTTCACCAGACATTCTCAAAGAAGCTTTCTGGTTTCTTCAATATGTATTCATCCTAAATGTCAAAGTCAATGTTAATTAATGAAGTGTGATCACGTAAGGCATGACGCCTGAGGCATGACTATGCTAAACAAAAACTATGACCGGCATTGTTACCCGAATAATTGAATAGTCAGAGTTGTGAAAAATGTGTTTTGGCTAAATACATACTTCTCCAAATATACAAAATTGAAATACAAATATCTAAGAGGAAATTTAAATTGAAGACTCAAATATCTAAGTCTCAAATACATACTTCTCCAGATATATAAAATTGAAATACAAATCGAAGACTTAAATATCTAAGCCTCAAATACGTACATCTCCAGATATACAAAATTAAAATACAAATATCTAAGACTAAATCCAAATCGAAGACTCAAATGTTCTATTGTTATTTTGGATCCACAATTAATCCTATGGATCTTTAGGATTGGAATTTTTTTTTTTTTTTCTAATTTTATAAACGAAAGTTGTTGTAGTTAAAGATGGTAAGCTTCCCACTTATTTCTTGCAATTGTCTAGTAATATTTTCGTGAAATGTTTAGATGTGACGGTCCTATATGCACACGTGATATGATCGACTATTTAGATCACGACACATCGGACCATTCAAATCATGATATATTGGCATTTGAGATTCACTTTGTTTCTCTCTCTCTTATCACTTCGGATGCCGACATCTTATGATTTGAAATGATCAATCTAATCATGTTTGCATATATGATCGTTTCATTGAAATGAAGGAGGATTGAAGTTCCGACATTATTGTGGTACGAGTAATGGTACTTGTAAAATTTAAAGGAAGGCGGTGGTGGAGAGGAAGGGCCAATGGAGATTGTGGTGGTTATGGGGTTGTGTTTATGGTGACGATGGTGATGGTCTAACAAAATAGCGGTGGTGAAATATGTAAACATTGTTTTATAAAATTTATCGAAAAATTACTAAAATAATAAAGAATGAAATATCATTATTTTGAGAGTGAAAAACAGGTTTAAAAGTATGTGGTGAGTTGTTCCTTATAATCTTTTGATGAAAAGTTGAACTTTTAACGATAAAGTATATAAAATTATTCATTGAAACAAACTTTCTACAAATTTAAAAGTTTAAAGATTGTATTTTAAAATAAAATAAAATAAAGGGAAGTTAAGCATATATTATAATTTATAAGACAAGTGGCCAATCTTTTTGTAAAATTATTGTAGGATTTGTGATTCAATTGATTATAAATAAGTTATTATGAGCTCGTTTGATACATATTAATGTATAAATGAGAATGAAAAATATAGTCGTTATGAGTCCCACACAAGAGATAGAGATAGAAATTCAAATTTGGTGATTTGATGTGATGAATAACGATCATATTTTTCATTTTAATTAAAAAAAATAGAAAACAAACAGGGGCTATATATGGCTCATTCTTTAGCTTATCTAAAGAAACACCCATGAAAGATGAGACAAAAAGACTTCAATTATTTTGCTGCTTTTGCTTATGAGACAACTTATTATAAAATGAGGGACACTTTTGTAAAAATAAAAGAGTTTACAACAGTAAAATGAATTAAAAAAATATTTTTTACCGGTCAAAGTAAAGTACATCTTACTGCTGGACGTTTCAGATTATTATTTTATAGTTTTTTACTAATTATGCCAATTTTTTTAAAAATGTATTTTTCTCTCTCTTCATTTCAATCACATATTCTTTATTAAAATAATATTAAAAAAAATTTCTTATTTTTTATCCACACATTCTTTATTAATCTACTATTTTAAAATTCATTTTTCCATTAGAATTAGGGTCAAACAAAGACCCTCTATATATATGTATCGTGCATGCATTAAATAAATACAACGAAATCCAACTATTTTTCAAACTGCTGTCCGCCGCCGTTGTCTCCACCTCCTGTTGGTCTCTCTCTTCTACAAATCCGGAATCCCCACACAAGCGTATTCTATACATCCACACAAACACACACGGTTTGTCTATGCTACACGAATAATATACGGGTTTTATTATTATTTACAGATTGTAAGTAAAAGAAACTTAAGGAAAGACGAGAGAGAGAGAGAGGAAATGACGCCGGCAAGAAT